ATTTTCTTTTTAACACAAAGGAGTGAATTCCCACATGGGAATGTGTACACCAGCTGGGGCATCCCAGTAAAAGTTTTCAGTTGGTGATGAAACCACTGGTGTTCATCCGTGTCCTGAACAGTCACCGTGCAGAGGAGGGCACAGGCTCACCCAGCACCACCTTCCAGCAGGTTTCTGAGCATCAGGCACGTGACATTTCATGAACTCTTTGTGAGGGTTAGATTTTTACAGAATGATAGGATGGTCTGGGTTGGAAGGGACTTTAAAGATCATCAAGTTCCACCCCCCTGCAATGGGCAGGGACACCTCCCACTAGAGGAGGCTGCTCAAAGCCTTTCAGAGTGTGTTCCCTTTAGGGGCTGGAAGGGCTTTGATCTCTGGTTGCCCATGTGCAAACAAGCACAGGAAGGGCAGGGAAAATCAGTACCAGTGTTTCTAAGCCTTTGGTTGTGCTCTTGGTGCTTGATCAGACTTTTCTTCTGTTTGTATTTAGACTTGACCACAGTGAATGAAGCTAATTAGGCTTGGTTAAGCTGATAACACCTCTGCCAGAACCCAAAGCTGAGCCCTCCTTGTCTCTGTCAAAGAAAATCAATAATTTCATTCTTCCATAGCCTCATTGCTCTGTTTAGCAACACCAAGCCGACATTATGCTGAAACTTATGCACATAATTAGAGCTTTGTGAATTTGGAGGTGTTTTTTCTGTAATTAGAATGAAAGTTTTCAAGAGCAGGGATTTGCTTTCTATGGTTTTCTGCAATCTTAATGAAAAAGGAACAAAAACAGAAGTAAAAGAGTCAGCCCCAGACCCAGAGAGACTTCCCTGGCAGCCGTCCTTGCCCCGTGTCAGCCAGGCTCTCACCCTGCTCTTCCAGCCTTTCTTTCACACAAATACTTCAGTCTCACTGACAAAAAGGCACCAAAAAGGAGAGATTCCAGATGAAACCGGGATAGTTCTTCAGTTGTACCTCACTCCTCACCCAGGCGTGGTGGGGTCAGGGCCATATCTCCTGAAGAGGGGTAATATTCTCTGTTAAAAAGGTTATAAGTTGCATTTACACGTGTTTAACTATGTTTAATTGCTGGCAGAGTTGATTGAGTTGCTTTTGGGAGTAATAGTTCTGTGTTGTGCTCTGTTGTGCAATAGATTAAGGCAAACATTGGGAAAGACTTCATTCTTACACTGAGCAGCATTTCCCCCTGCCTTTTGGGACAGTGACTGGGTGCAGGTTTTTAGGGCTCTGGCAGCAACAGAAATCCTGCCCCTGGTTTGGGCAATTGGCAGGGAATGTGCTGAGACACCTCCCTCCCTGGACAGACAGCCCCCTGCTTTCCTCTCCACTGCATTTCTTGTGGAAGGATTGATGAGAAAGATCAAACCAGAAACGTTCCTGTAGCTGAGGCTTCAGGAGAACCTCTGGTAAGAGCAGGAGCTTGGCAATTTGACTTGGCCAAATAAAATGTTCCTGGTGCTGTTCAGAGCTCAGCACAATCTCCAGTAATTGCGTTATAAACCCAAAACTATCTTGTTTTTTAATAAAAGAGATGTTGTCTGGATGGTGCTAGAATATTGAGAGTGAAAGAAACTATTCAGAATAGCAGTAAGAAGACCTAATTTAACCTAATATTGTTTAGTACAGGTGGAGCACAGTGCAGAGAAGGGGGTAATGCACATAGTGCCCAGTCCCAGCCGCCTTCTGGGCTGCAGCTGCAAACGGGAGCAAATACTTTATAAACACCAGTGAGACCTGTGGGAGCTGCGTTCCTGGGGGGGAAAGTGCCAAAGACAGAACTGACACCAATGGCAGCAGCAGGTAAAAGTGTTCTGAAGTGCTGCGGAGCAAAGGGGGATTTTAGGAAAAACTTCAAGCAAAGAGGGTTTACATCTTATCTGTATTCACCCTTGGTTCCATTTGCTTGCAGTGTTCTCTCTCTTACAAAGGAGATCGGCTTTTGTGGGCACAGCTGGGACGGGGATGGCTTATTGTCAAGTCTCAAATGTCAGTGACTAACGCTGATTTACATGCAGATTGCCTCTCCGCTTTATTTTATTTGGTTATTTATTTATTTCTCAGAAATGCTGTCATTTGCTTCTGAGGAACAAATCAATGAGAGGGCAATAAAGAAGATGTAATCTTATTGCCAGTGCAGGAAAAAAGAAGGGGGGAAGAAAAAAGAGAGGGCGAGGTGAGCATTTCAGCACATGTACAAGTGCTGGTGGGGTTTGCCTTCGGGTGTTTGCCAGATGTCCTCTGTCTGGGAAGGGTGCTGTGGCTGGGGATGCAGGGCTGCAGCCGAGCCAGCAGACTCTGTGTTTGGTGCCTGCTCTTTGAGCTCACGGGTCAGTTCCTCACTATGGGCATGAACAAGTTCCACTCCCTTCACTCTGCCCTGGCAGCCAAAAACCTGAACTCCTGTAGCTCTCACCCTCTGGCCACGAACAGACCAGGGTGTGGTGTCTTTCAATGGCAATCTCTTCTTTCCAGGGTGTTCCAGCTTATTTCTAAGTGCTTTGCTGACACAAATTAAAAATTTACTGATGTTTGAACATACTGACATTAATTAAACTCTTGTGGGCTGCCCATCCCCAGGATTCAGTGCTGTAAGTTGGTTCCTGGTGTCCCTCTCCTCTCCAGTCTGTCCCCGGCGGCTGCTCCCTGGGAATGAGCCCTCTGTGCCTGTACAGTGACTGCACAGTCCTTCCTCCCTCCCTCAAAAGTGCTTCTTACTGGTGATTATTGATAATCAAAAAGAAATCGGCTTAATGGTTTTCTAGCTTTCCTGTTGAGCTGGGTAAACACCTCCCTCTGAAGATTTACTGTAGTCACTTGTTCTGTGCACAGCCCTCGTGAGGACTCAGAGATTTATAAATAAGAACTTGGGACTAACAGAGAAAGACCCTGTGAGACAACCCAGCTCTTGTGGATTTATAGCTAAACTCCATTGATTTTTATTTTTTTTATTTTTTTTTTAATTCAAGTGGTTAAGGATGTAAGAAATGATTACACATTGAAAATTGCTTTCTGATGGTGCTGAAAATCTCTTATTAAAGATTTATGTGGAGCCAGGAACCAGGTGACAACTCCTGTGGTGCTGAGTGAACGTGCCTCACAATAAGTAAACGCTACTGATGGTATGAATGTTCTTTCTTGAGAATTTTTAATGATTGGAGAATTTTCTTCATTACAGTCAGATATCTAACCACTAATTACTCTGTTAAACTGTGTTCTGGTAGCAGGAGAAATGCAACAACAAATTTATTTACCTATTAAAATCTTTATGTGTCTGTTACTGCCACCAGTCTGTGGCTCCTCAGAAATATAGACCCTTATTGATGGGATCCCAGATGCTAACTAGAATTTAATTTAGTTAAATGGTTTATACTACAGATTGTATTTCTCCATGGATATGCACAAACAGAACAAGATAAAACCATTACCAATTACTTAGGCTTGTTTTTTTTTATCTATTCACACCCTTCTTTCTTTGCATCGTAAATACAAAATATTTACAACTGTTTATGTAAAATATTGGTTTTTTGAGTCAGAAAATCTGCTTTATCTGTGCTATAAAGTTGCTTTCAGTGCTGTCGCTCCAGTTGCAACTGTCCAGCAGTTTGTAAGACACTACATCTGGTTCTACTTCTCTTTTTAGTAGATTACATTAAAGTGAATCCTTAAGGCTAAACCCTCTAATTTACTAAAACACACGCACATAAAATTACAGCTGTCTCACCAAGGCTTTCATTGATTTGAGCAGAACTGGGATTCATTTAAGTGGTCATAAAACTTAGATAAGCAAACTTCTTTCAAATCTAGAGGGAAAAAACAAAAGTGAAATACCAAAACCAAAGCACCCCCAACCTGCCAAACAGCGCTAATTACTGGTTTATTGATTGGCTCATCAGTGTCTTATTCTTCCTCTGTGTCTGCAGACACCGTCTCTCCCTGATCCCTTGGCTCCAAGCGCCCCTCGCTGCGCTGCCCGCCCCGAGGGACAGTTTTGTCATGGAAGTATGATGTTTCCTGTAATTAAAGCACAGTTTTGCTCCTAAAAGTAATTATATAGGTTGTGTACGGTTCTCTCTGAAACTTAGCTGTGTAAATGAGAGGCTGCTGATGCTGAAGGCAGGTCAGGCACGGGTTCCTGCTCAGTGCAGAGAGGATGGAGATGGAGACCGTAAGAGACACGGCCAATCCACAAGCAGCTTGAGTGAGGTGGGAGGGGGTTTCCCCCTTGGAGGCAGGTTTTCTGCCATTAAAAGCCCCCACTCTGACCTTCTGCACACACTCGGAAAAGAGGTGTTTTCCCCCCAAAGTCCGTGGGAATGTTCTGAAGATGTGCAGGAGGTGGAGGAGCATCCCCTCCAGGGACTGCTGTAAATCCTCGCTGCAGGGAAGTGCCCAGAGTTTGACACCAGATTTCAGCAGCAGTTTCCAGTGTTGTATCCAGCCTTTTGGGCAAACACACATGGTGTGTGACAGAGACAGGGAGGCAGCCGTGCAGAGCCCGACCTGCAGCCCAGGAGCTTCTCTCTCCCTTCCACGGGGCTCGAGGGTGATGAGCTGAATTTACCCGTGTAGGAGAGACCTGTCCCCCCTGTGCCTCTCCTCCTGCGGCTCCATTGGTCTCCCCTGTTGTTTCTCTCACTTCTCCTTTCTCACAGGACAAATGCTCAAAAGCACCCAAGTGACTTGGGCCCCAAACATTATTTCCAGCCTGAGCTGGGGGCTCTGCTCCTGCCTGGGCTCCTAAGTCGTGGTGGAAATGCCATGGGGGCGATCAGGGAACTGCAGTGATAATCATCTTACAATGGTATTTCAAGCCCTGTTTCAGCAAAAAATGTTTGAGGATTTATTCAGGCATTATGCAGTTAAAGGTGTACTTAAGTGTTTTGCTGAAGCAGAGTGTGTTTAGCTTTAGAACGTTTATATTTATTATGGTTTTGTAAGTAAATTTGTTAAATCTCAGTAATTTTGTCTATGTCTCTTCTGGACAGCTTGGAGTGTTTTAAAACAGCCTTCAGGATGTTGGTCTAAAGTTTGCTGCCTGCACCAGGAACGTTTGGGAAAGCTGCTGAGATCACCAAGAGAAGATGGATGTGATGGTTTTCTGAGGAGAGGGTAAGTTGTTGGCAGAAGGTGGTGCTGTTACCTGATGGTGAAGCAGATAACTAGCTCCTGTGTCAGGGAACTTCTGCTAAACAAATCCCTCAGCAGGAAAGAGATTTTCTTTTTCCCCCTCCAGTCAGAGATGTGATGCACGAATAGGTACAGATGAGGTTTCCCAGTCTCTGAGATATAATAAGTCGTCTTAATTAGAAGGCAGATGGCCATGCCAGCATTTCTTCCAACACAAAGCAGAATAGCAGGTGAACTTTGTTCTTTACAGGAATAAATGCAGCTACATCATGCTTTAGAAATGGAGAGGCTGATTTCTCTGGGAAGTCCGGGGTCACGTGGACTGGATTTAACAAAAGCAAAAAATGATTGATATAAGGGGCAGCTGAAAGTTTTAAAAGGTTTTTTTCAGGAGCAGCACACTGTCATGCTTGATGGTATCAGAATTCACAAGAGATAATTTCAAAAACTCCGAGGAGAGGTTTTGGTTGGGAAAAGCTCTGCTGGGTTCTGTCTGGTGCGTTGGTGACACCGTGGGGACACTCACGTGGTGGGGCCAGGGTCGGGCTGTGGGGCAAGTCACACGTGTGACACTGAAATCACAGCTCAGTGGTAACTGGTGGCAGAAATGTCAATCTGTGTCCCACAGTGTTTTGATAAATTTTCATAAGTGAGATGTGGAGAATTTAGGTATACATCCAACTTCTTATCCTGAAGGGAGACCAAATTTCAGACCTTTGGAAATCTCTTTGTCCATTGCTAATACTTCAGTAATTTAAATACAAGCCTCTATAAAATAGAGAAAAATACTTCACATGTGCTAGGAGAGAAGATAAAACAGAGAAAAAGCAAGTCCAAATCATGACATAAATCTTTCAGGACTTGTGCTGTCTGCTGCTCTGAGTCAGCAGGGGAGGGTTAGGAAGGGTGAGAAATATTTGTGTCCCCATGAAATAACACCCCTTTGGCAGCTGTAGGGAGGGGCTTGTGATACCCAACATGCCCAGAGCTGGGCAGCAGCCCCGGGGACTGCAGGGACTCTGAATTTCAGCAGTGAATTTGTACAGTTGCCATGTGCGTTTTGGGCCATATTTTCAAAATTCAGAAATCTGGGCTTTGATCCTGCTGTTTGAATAGCTCCCTGGGTGTACGAATTGCCAATAAATACCTGCACTTTGTCGGGGTGTGAGTGCCTGGCTTGGAAAATCTGGCTTTCAGAGGGAAGGCACTGTGCCATACCTTCGGAGAAGAGAAACACAACTGGTCAGATGCCACTTCAGATACACTTGAGCCTGAGACCAAAAGGCTTTTGCAGGATTTTCAGACCTCAAGCATAAGGCTTCTTTTTTTCCCCAATTGGATTTCACGGTTGAAACTTGGTGTAAGAATCCTGAGACTAGGGAGCAAATAGCTTTTTATGGAGATTTGAATTACATTTTACACTTGAAAGATCAGTCTAAGCAGGGAGTGAAATGTCCTGGCGTGTTGTCTGTGCTGGTCCCCGGTGCTCCCCCGGCCAGAGCCAGGGACGCCCACGGGCACCTGGAGTGGCTGCGGGAGAGCGGTCACGGGTGGCTCAGGGGAGAGAAAACATTAAGAACGGATGATTCCTCCCTTCTTAAAACCCGTTTTAAAGCTGCGTGAGGATCTTGGCTCCCTTTGCCCTGGCTCGGTCAGCGATGCAGGCAGGAGCCGTGGGCTGCCTTCCTGCTGCCAGCTCCCCGGGGAGCCTGGTGTCGGCCCAGCGCCGTGCCATCCGCTGACGCTGCCTCTGGGGACAGATGCCATCGCCACCGCAGTGGGCTATTTAAAGTCTGTGTCCAGGGATTCTTGCTGTTCATCTCACCATCATCACGTGGGCCATGCCCCTCCTGTGTGTGAAGATGCAGCGTTTCCACAGCGGGTGCTGGTGCTGGAGACACAAGCAGAGCAGGGTTTCGGGTGGTGCTGAGCTCTCTGCAGTGCCTGGTGCTTACGGTGGAATAAATCACTCTGAAGTCACTACAGTTTCCCACAACGTTCTGCTGAGAGATGTATCTTTATTTGATTCCATTTTCAGTAACATTTATCCACTGCAGCGATTAGCAAATTTAACTGCCAGTCAGTGTATGAACTGGAGAGTTCATAAGGTTAATACAGATTTCCTATTGGTTTGTGGCTTTTGATGCATCTTTGGACAAACAGGTGACTTTACTGTTATTTTCCCTCAGAGCAGAACTGTAATTCAGGGCCCTTAATGAAGAACTGTAAGCACAAAGCTCCAAAATCTGAATTCTCTCTTGTCAATGGGGGAAAGGAAATCAGCCTGATGGTGGCAGAATGTAGCCCTGTAAATACCATCTCCTCAGGTGAGGTATCCTGGTCCTGTGGAGAGCAGTTACATGTCAGCAATGATCATCCCTTTTTTTTTTGGTGTGAGTTGCTGAAAAGCAAACCTTTCCCACAACTAATTGTATTTGCTAATTACCTGTGAAAAAGCAATTATCTCCAGGTGATTCAGTTCTTTGGGAAAGCTTTTTTAATTGGCAAAGATGAGGAAAGAAGCTCTTCTATGGATGTTGTTTTCAGAAAAATCTTCCCAAATATTGTACCTGATGTATCACATCGGACACATCAGATGGGGTTGCATCAGCAATGTTGCATTGCATCACATCGCCGAGGTAATGTGCTGTGACAGACTTGCAATGCAATGTGTCAGCTGGAAAATGGGGAAAGATGTGATTTCCTGAACAAAATGCTTCTTAAGCTTAACGGTATTTTCCCGTCCTCCAACTAAAGGAGGGGCTGTTTAAGTTTTGGGGTATTTCTTAAAAGATTCAATTGCCTATTGAAAGGATTCTGAGCATCGTTTTGTTTCCTGGTTCTCCATGGGTAATTAACAGGTCTAGAAAGAAAGATGGTTTTTGCTACTTAGGTTTTCATTCCCAAATTATAATATATATATGTATAATATAATATATATCTATTTTCCCAAACTTTCAGTAAACTGAGGGAGCATGTCCTGGGAGGAGGAAGGTTCTTGCTGTTTGCATGGCTCTCTGTCCCGTGCCTGATCCTTTCCCTCAGCTCCTGCCATATGCTGCCCATGAGGGGTGCCGGGGGGTGAGGTCTGTCCAGGTGAGGTTCAGAATCCCAGCCAAGGCTGCAAATGCAGAGAGGAAACGTGGCAGCAATGCATGTGCATGTCAGTCAGAGCTGCAATTCGGAGGGGATTTTATAGCACATGATTTACTGATGGTGCACATCTTCTCCAGGGGCAGCGTGGAAGTACCTTTCCCTGCCTTCCTTCAGGACGGTGACCTTTTCCACGGGGGGGACGTCGGGTGGACACTGCAGATGGTCTGGTCAGTGGGAAAGTCATCCTTTGGTGATGGATCAGAAGGCAGAGCTTGCGTGAGCCAAGGTATGTCTCAAATCCGGAGGGAGGGATGGCTTGGCTGGCTCAGGAGAGGGTGCTGCAGCATTCACTGCGGGTACCGTGAGTGAGGAGAGCCCACCAGCCTCCCAAACCACTGCCATCTGCTCACCCCGCTTTGAGCGAGCTCCTGCGCTCACTGAGCCGATGGCAGTCACCATCTTCACCAGGAGACTCAGCTGTGTCCTCACTGGGACACTGAATGGGGCAGGGGAGGTGGAACAGGAGCACGTGAGCTGGAGCTCTGGAGGTTGGGCACCCCGAGATGAAACAGCAGCATGGGTGAAACAGATAAACTGACAACTGTTAAGCTCTTTAGGAAAAGGAGGAGCTATGAAATCCGTGTAAAAGCAAAAATCCAAATAGTTTTAGTATCTCTTCACAATCTGCATTGTCAGAAGTAACGCACAGTATCAGTTTGCTTCATTTTCTGGTTGATTTTTAAAAAAAAAAATCCACTTTTTTATGAGCTCCTCGGTGTTGTCTGATACTGAGCCTCCTTTCAGGCTTACATGATGCTTCAGTGACACATCAAAACCAATACACAGAGAATTTCTGAAGAGCAAAGTGCTATACAATAATGATGAACATATTGTCCTCAAGCTGTGGAGGTTAACAACCCAAAATTGCTTTGGTATTTGTACATACTGAAATAAGAAGAATTTATATGTTTGCTCTCATTTTAGTGGGCTCTTGTGATTCATTACATGGGCACTTCAGAGTTCACAATAGTCACTTGTGTCCTGCAAAGCAGCACCCTTAACTGTGGTGCTATTTGGTTGCTCATTATTGTCCCGATTCTTTCTTTTTTATTCCTGCACAAATAGACTCTGGTTTCACAGTAACTCACCTAATACTGCTTTCTGTAGTGTTCTTTGTCAGAAGGATCAGGGTTCTGCTGTACTCAGAAGAAATCAGCTACCTAAATCTGTAATGGCATTGCTGTTTAAACAATGCCTTGGATCATTAAAACTTTAAAAAAAAGAAAAAGTTGTTTATGTACCTATGGATACCTTTCCTTTTACATTCAATAGGTTTTTTTTATAAAATGGCAGCAGTCACGTAGAAAACATTTACTTACCTTTTGGTTTACTTTGATTTGGTCGTTAAGGACAATACAGTCATTTCACAGTCTGTCCTGGCTGAGGGAAAGCACATAATTGCTGTGCCCCAGGAACAGCCTGGGAAGTGAATTATGAGCTGAAAGTCTCTAATCTTTCCCTGCCAACCTACACTCCCGCTTGCTCTAAGCAGGTATTAAGACCATTAAGAATAAAGGTATTACAAAAGGTATTCGGGTGCCTAAAGATGCAGACAGACTCACAGTGTTTTGGGGTTTTTTTGCAGCCATGAAGGTTGGCTGCTCACCTTCACCAGAGGAGCTGCCTCCCGTCAGCTGTGTGGGCTGAAAGGGGTCCCTGGAGTCTCTGCTTGGTCTCCTCTAACTATGAGAGTTCCTTCGGGGCAAGCTCAGAAACAGATATTTCAGGTCTGGCATTTTGTTTTCATCAAAATGTTTATTTTCTATACCCCATTGTATGTATAAGTCATTCAGATGATTAAAAACCCATTGTAAGTCTTATCTTTTAACCAAATATTAACCTTGCTTTCTATGTGCAAGCTGGTATTAACTCACACCAGCCCTTTTCCTGCGCTCAGAACTCCTATTCTAAGCCTTTTCTTTAAACCTGTTATTAATTCTGCCTTTTATGTCTAAGCCTGGTACGGCAGCACAATTAACTGCTTTACTTAACATGCAAGGTTAGAAGTGATCTCTATGATACCACTGACATTAAGAAAGTAAATGGGGTTAAACTGATTCTTATTACAAGCTGATCTTTCTGCAGTCTTTGGTTGGTGGAACCGGCAGCAGACGTGTGTTGCAGAATTAATTTTAAGGGAGTTGTAAGAACCATTGCTACATAATGGTGATATCAGGGGGGAATGGAAGAATCCACACAAGTCTTTAATCTCCCTCAAGCCAAGATATTAATTGTGCTTTATTCTGTAGTTTAAAAGAAATCCTTAATCACACTGTCAACATCTCCTTTTGTGCTCCTCATTTTCTTCTGGTTATAAATATGAATCAGCTTTTCCTTCAGTAAGGCTGGAGAAGTTCAGGCTCTTCAGTTCACAACCAGCAAGAGCTACTTCTGCTGCAGGAGCAGAACGGGACCTCAGTTCTTGAGCTCCATGGTCTTAACCTTCTTCGGTGGGGAATTCATAGAGAAACAGTCTGTTGATATTTTGTCAGGCCTAGCAGAGGTGTTCTGTGCTGAGATTGGGAGAGAAGTCTCTCAGTGGCTCACTGGTGGAACTGGGGAGCACATCGGTGACCTGTGTTGGTAAGTGACTGAAACGGTGACTTTCCTCTGCCCAACAAGACACGTCTTTCTAAAAGTAAAACAGATAAACAGGTAAATGGCTAATTCTGTGCTTCACTCTGTGACAAGCAGGAATTTAATACAATTGTAGAAGAAGTAGTAGTGGTTGAGACAGCAGATGACTAATGCATGACTAAGGTTTCTGCAGGAGCTGTGAGGTGAAGGTGACGCTCAGTTCTGGATTTGGAAGGGCTGTGATCAGCAGGTCTGCAAAGCCCAGCTGGGAGTTTCAAAAAAACTTGAGAATAGGGCTGAATTCCAGGGTTTCAGGGCACATACCATACCTGAGTGAGGTTTGTAACAGCGATGCCAAGGACATGACAGAAAAACCACCCACTCCCTTCAGGAAGGTGTCTTCCTTTGAAGGGCAGTGCAGCAGGCACCAGGAGAGCTCTGCCAGGGCACAGAAGAGCTGTGGAGGGAGCTGCCAGAAATCACCTCTAGAGATGCAAGACTGAAACTGGCAGTGAGGCACCTCTGGGTGGGGAAAGGAGGATGAAGAGACTGGAGAAAAGGAAAAGTTTCCACCTGGTTTGAAAACATTAATGTGAAGAACTTGGCACAGCAGTGCCCTGCGAGCACCTCCTGGAGCACCCTCTTCTCGGTGGGGTGCTGGGGATTTGCATCGCTAATTTGCTGGCTTGAAAGTTCTCCCAGGCTTCCAAGGAGAAGAGGCAGATGTATCCTTTCAGGGCAAGGAGATAAGGTGTTTGAGGAATTTTACCTCCGTGTCCTAAACTTGATGTACTGGATGTGAAGCCTGGGGGTTCCTGGATAAAAAACACCTAAACGTAACGTTCATTAGAGAGAGCGCGTTTCTAACCACGGTATCCTGGATAAGCAGCACATCGGTAGGAGGGCAAAATAACAATTGCTCTAGGCTTGGAGAAGCTTTTGCATTACTGCTACCCCAATTATTTCCTTTTTCACACGTGTTCAGCAATCTCTCGCCTCTGTAATTACCGCACTGAACACTGCAGCTATTAGATACAGCCACTAGACTTTTAACAAGCCATCATTACTTGCACTTGCTATCTTACGATTTAACAACAATGTCTTTGAGAGCAATGGAACTTATTTCTCCTTCACAGCAAACTCAGGACTTTTGCATGGACACACACGTGTAAAAGCCGGTTGTAGCCACAGCTCTGCTGAGGAGCAGTGAAGAAGCCAAGGGGAGAGATGCAGACTGTGGAAGCTGATGTGTGCTATGGTCCTGGTTGGCATATTCTAGTTAAAGGTTATTTTTAATACCTCTGTTGGGCTAATTTTTCCTTTCCTTGAGAAATAGTGGCTGAGAATACCGTCCCTGTAAAACTGAGCCCTCATGTCAGGAAAATATTGCCAAATTTTAAAGCACAGAGGTACCTGAAAGGCTGTGAGGTCTTAGGCTGGTGTCAGATGTGAGGACAGCTCTGGGTCTGTTGTCCTTGAGCAGCTGGAGAAGTGGGGAAGGCAGGTTGAGATCTGTCTTTTCCTGGCTTCACATCTGCTTGGCAATTTCTTTCCTGGCCTCTCTGCTCTTGTAACGGAGCTGAATACTAAGAAGAGGTAATTCTGTGAGCAGCAGGAGCACGGTGGGCCAGGTTACCTGATTAGCTGGTGGATTTTCTATTCTCGCCCCAGGTGGTCAGGCAGAGCAGGCATTTAAAAACTCATCCATCTCTTGTCTTACTGTCTTTGAATTTGCATAATTAAAAGTGAATTACTCTCTGTATTTTTAATATATGCAGTGAAAATGCATGAAAAGCTGAAAAATTACAGCAATCCAGTAATTCATGTCATGTCCCATTCAGAATTACAGCTTTCCAGTGCCAGTTTAAACATCGAGGATTCCCTGCCACCATAAAGCTATAATTGCTGAATTAATAACAGCGGGTTCTGGAGAGTGACTGCACAGACTCTCTGACCCAGGTAATAGAAATACTCATGTTAAAGTGAAGTTGATACATGTGACTTAATCTATTTCGCATCGGGCTCAAGTAGTGAGGATGGCTGCTCTCCGTGCCGCGGCAGGTGGAGAGTGCAGCAAGGTCCTGCTTTTCAGAGGTAGTTTAGAGCTGGGTTGGTTACCCAGCAGAGACTGGAAATTAGATTTTCAGGGACCAGCCAGACTAGCTTTCCTGCTACCCAAGGACTCGTACCCCAGATCTGCTTCTCTGCCTGGGAGCGGAATTCTCCATCCAGCTGCAAAGGTGTGGAAAATGGAATGTAAAGGGAGATGGGGAAAGGCTTCTATTAACATTTTCTTACTCCAGGCTTTTATTAACAACAACTGAAAAAACAATCCCTCCCCCTGACCTTCCAGCTTGGGAGCAAATTCTGAAGCTGCTGCTCTTCCCAGAACATGGTGCCCCGTGGCCCTTGTGAGGACAGGGATAAAGTAACTGCTGTTTCGAAACACAATGGTTGGAAGTTAAACAAAGTGGCATGATCTGAATGAAAGTTTACTTTTTTCTGTTTTTTTTTTTTTCTTTAAGAGTTACTTAGGTACTGGAGGGAACTGATCATTTACCGTGACTTCCTCAGGTTGGGACACCAGTGCAGTGGTCATTTGAACCTGTGGGTCTCTACATTTATTTCAGCAGGTTTTGTGATTCTTGGTCACCACTGTAAGCTGATTCAAGTCGATAGAGATCAGTTGGCCCATGTCAAAGGATCTGCTTGAACCAAGGAATTAACGTAGTGAGCAACTACTGTCATTGCAAAGCTCAGCTGCAGCAGAAGCCAAGCCCTATGACCAGTCAGATGTTGGACTTCTCAGCTCCAGGTGATGTCCTGTGCTGGGAACCTTTGCAATGGTCTTGTTGAGACTGTACGTACGCTATGGATAAAAAGAACTGGCAGTTTCCAGGGCTGGCAATCTGGTTCCTTTCGTAAGAATTACCATCATTAATTAAAATCTCTTTTTCTGTCTAATTATTTCAGCTCTAATTCTCTTGCAGGTTCATAAATAGTAACATCTTGTTGTCCTGGAAAAAGTTCATTTTTTCTCCTTTTCCTTCTCTTTGTCGTTGCCCTCATTCTCTGCCCTCTCATGGCTTAAGGTAATTAAGCTTCCAAAGCCTGGTCACCTCTCTGAAATATTTAAACATGATCAAAGAGATTTTCATGTTTCTTTTGCCTGCAAAGCTCCAGGAAAGTTTTGAAGGCTCAGGCTGTGCTTTTTCCTTCTGCAAATAACGGCAGGAGAGGGGCCAGGCTGGGAAGGGAGGGGGTCTCCACCCTGGTCACCATTGCCCAGACCTCATCCTACCCAGGTGCTATTCCAAGAACAAACATTTCAGGCCTTGTAGCTTGTAGGCCTTGTGAAAAGTACTTAACCTGATCTCTGTAATTGCCTCTTTGCCACTTAACACTAAGATTACAGCGTTTACTGTTGGATGTTAGTAATTCTCTCAGCTGAACTTTTGCATCCAGGAGATGATTTTTGCAGAATATTCCCATGGGAGATACTCACTGGAATTTGCACGTGCACGAACACGTACATGCAGAGTAGCTTGGGCTGAGCACTGATAATGAGGAGGAGGAAAATCTTCCCAAAGACAGGTATGTACAGCACTGTCACCCAGAAGAGCTGAATAAAAGGCCTGGGTATTTTAGGAAAGAATCAGTATGAAACTGGGTTGTTTCATACTGATTCTGGCTTTGGGCTACTTGAGGTTGAAGTAGGGGGATTTCTCTAGGCTCTTGGCAAGGCAGTAATTTTTATCAGTTCACTATGAAATCTGCCTTTTTTGTGCAGTTATTTAGCTTGCTGGCTGGTATTTTCTTGAAATTTCCTTTATTAAGTGTCAAGTTTTGGTACCAGAAAATATCAAACACAGCTAAAGGTCAAAGTAAATCATGAATGAAATTACAGGAACTGATGTACAGTGAAGGCTGAAGCAGAATGTCAGAGGTTGGTTTACATCAACGCTGTCCCGGGATCGGGGGCCATCCCTGCCTGCTCAGAGAAGCCCCCGTGGTGGAACCTCAGAGATGCAGGTTCTACCAGAGGTTTAGAGGATGAGTGTAAAGCACGTACCACACCACACACCGGTGCTGCATCCCTGCTTGGGCCAGTGTGCAAAGTCCTGCTGGTTTCCAAAGGGTCAGTACAAACCAAGCTTTGCCGTTGGTGTGCATTTATGGGCAAGACTTCCAGGAGCGATGCTTTCAGCGGCTGGTGGGCACTGAAACAACGGTGTCTATCAAACCAATTGAATTCTGCTGAGAAGCAATTAGTTCCGTGAGCCACAAAGACGACAGGATTTCCAGTCCCCGTGTCCTGCGTTTATCTCCGGATAAATGGAGAGCTCATTTGTCTCGTTAGCGAGCTGCCTGTTTCATAACGTCTGTAGGGATGTTAATACCTTGACTGCACACAGATATACATATTCAGAGAGGCTTTGTGATCATATAAAACTTAAGAAAGCATAAAAGAGTTCAGTTTTTCTGGATGTTTGCGGTGTTGCCTGTACCAGAAAGGAGTGACAGAACTGGAGGGAAGGAAAAATGCGTGTCCACAGATCAGAGGCAGAAAGGTAGGGATTTTGAAGTTCTTTGATGGTAACAAGAATGTTGTCTCCTCTCCAGCGTTGGTGTTTTTTAAAGCTCAGTAGGCAGCAATATGCCATGTTTTATGGTTTTATCAAGTGCAGCAAAGTCACCGCTATTATACTTGCAATTTCATGACCTGGTAAACAGATAGTTTTGTTCATAAGGGTCTAAGTGTCAGTGGTGTAGAAAAGTGATGATTATGCTGCTTTGTGAAATAGAAGCTTCTTTAGAAGAAATGTATTATATCTGAACCAGCATCACTTGATATTTGCCCTTGTAGAGCGTGACCCAGTGGCCAGCACTTTTTGTGAGATCAAGGATGAAGAAAACTGATAGGACAGTTAATCTGGAGAAATATTTATATATATTTTTATTTCAGTGTGGGCTGTATGGAATATATGTTGCCTCTTCAATTAGGGTGACACGGCACCAATGCCAGTACGGGTTCCTGCCTTGGTCCAGTGCACAAAGTCTTGCTGGTTTCCTGAAGAGTCAATACAGTTTCAGCCCAAGCTTTGCCATTTACGTGCATTTACAAGAATGACTTCCAAGAGCAACACTTTTGGTGGCTGTTGGGCCCTGAAACTATGGTGTCTTAACAAACCAATTGAAAACTTGAGTTTTCTTGGTGGATGCATTAAAACATCTGCATGTCCTGTAGCTCTGGTGTAGTTAATTTTATAAATTAATCAGAGATATGAGAGAAATCTGGCTGTGGGAGAAGGGACCCCCTGGCTGTGAGTTTCCACGGAAATCTTTTTGATTTCACCAGCGAATGGTAGCTTTATGCAGCTCTTGCTGTGTCTTATCTAATGTGTTATTGGTGCTTTTGCATTTGCTTTCAAACACAGTCAT